GTGGGGGAGCAGCTGGTGGAGGAGCAGTTAGTGGTGGTGCAGCTGGTGGGGGAGGTGCTGGCGGGGGAGGAGCTGGTGAGGGAGGTGGTGGTAGTTGGGGAGCAGCAGGAGGTGGAGGAGGTGGTGGTAGTTGGGGGACAGCAGGAGCTGGAGGTGATGGTGATAGTTGGGGAAAAGCAGGAGGTGGTGGTGGTAGCTGGGGAACAGCAGGGGGTGGAGAAGCCTCTGACGGGCAAGGAGAAGGATGGAGAGCAGCTGGAAGTGGAGGAGCAGATAGTAGGGGAGCCACTGGTGAGATTACAGTTGGTGGAAAAGTAGGTAACAAAGGAGTAGGGGAAGTAGGCGCAAGTACAGATGTAGAGGGCAAAGGAGCAGAAGGCAGAGGTGCAAAAGGCCGAGGAGCAGGAGATGGAAACGATAGTATGAGTGGCAAAATCTTCGGTAAAATACACGCAGAAGACTCTAACAATAGACAAAGTGTAGCGTCCATAGCTGGTGGGTCAACTACGAACTCTAAAATGTATGAGACAACTTCAAACGGATTAGGTACTTTCACTCAAATTTTAGGATCAATTAGAAAACCAAGAGGAACTTAAAATGCCAAGCCGCGCAGTTCGAGAACAGATAAACAAGGTTCGATTTACAGGTACTAGGTAAAGGAGCCCTGACAACACTTGTATCTTCTTATAGTGGAAAACAGATATGGAGGGCGGTAACGTTAATTATTTACAGGACACTTTGTTTAAATATAAGCTACCAGCTGGACAAAAAGTTAAAGATCAACAGTACACCCATAACATTAAGCCATTTGTCAGTACTATATAAATAAGAAACGCAAGGTGTTCGGTGGACTATAATAACCCTATATATTTATTTCTCAATGCAAGAACTTGAATACTTGTGTTGTCCTCCTGAGGGTGGGATGGGACTTTTATCCCCGTGTACGCTCCGCCTTTTATATTAATACTTAAAATATTGAATGGTTGACTTGGCCTAGATGTTCCAAAGCCTTTGTACATCCGAACCTAGAGATTACTTTCATTTAGTAAATATAGAAGTCTAAGCTGTGAATTACACTGCGATAAAAGACGACGGGCATTTGAGAACACGAGGGAAATGTAGAAAACACGAGCTGCAGGGGAGTGTTTTCTATATCTCTCGAGTGTTCTCAAATGTCTGGAGCATTTTATCACAGTGTAACACATGGCTTAGGCCTCTTCATTTACTTTATGATATAAAGGTAATGTGGCGAAAAAGAATAAAATACGCCTTTTTGTATGTTTTAAAAATACGGCTTTTTGACCAATCAGAGCGTGCGCAGGGTCCTATCTATATTATAATAACAAAATGAAACCAGGCTTTTGGGTGCACATTATTTTAATATATCGTTGACATGTAAACTAAGACAGTCTCATCTTAATGTCGTTGACTACTGGATATATTTGCATGACCGCTGTTAACCAGCAGTGACATTGTTTATACTATGTCAATACAGCTCTCGAATGATCGCTTTACAACAACATTTACTCAAATCAATGGTAGTTTACCTTTGGGACATTTTGCGATGAAACCTGATAATATACTTCAAAACTAGCGCGCCACGCAAACAACACCAATCTCGGTGTGTCTCCTGGTATCGGGATATAAACGGAAAATACCTCAATGTAATGTACTGTGGCTGCCAAAAGTTCCCACACTTCCAGCAGTTATACTTTCATGGATCAGTACTACCTCACTTAATAAAGTCATGTTACAATATCTGATCGTGTCACACAAATACACAAGCATTGTTAAACAACAGCTTACCATAACAACGAGGTAACCTGTTGAAAACGCCCTTAATTTCATCTTTAGGTGCTTGTAGCTCAAAAAAGGCTCAATAAACCCCACTTTTTATTGTTGCATTGTGGTCAGCAGGTTATAATACAACTATCTGCAAAGATTTAAAACAAATCCGTTGCTAGGTATCTTGATAGATTACACCTTGATTAAGTACTTTCCATAACTATAGTTTGCATTGTGCCATTTCCTCGACCAATCGATCCATATCCTCTTTGGACAATCCTCCCTTGTCCGTCATCACCTGGATCCCCGCCATCGTGGCAGTATCGACCGCTGACACACTGAGAATGCCATCTTTGTCTACTTCAAATGCTACGTCGATCTGAGGCACGCCGCGTGGAGCCGGTGCAATGTCCACGAGATCAAAGCCGCCAAGAAGATTGTTGGCTTTAGTCATAGGCCTCTCGCCTTCGAAGACCTTAACACAAGAATTCAAACAGGTTTTTATTAATCGAGATTAAAGAACAAGACAAAGCATCTCTTTACTTTCCTCGAGTGGACACACAGGCGCATTCAATTTAACAAATTGACGTCAGTTTTTCATGCGTCTGTCCTGTTACTGATCATGAATTTACGTCAATTTGTTTTTTACGATAACAAATTGTCCGCTCTCGCTCGTTGACGCATCGCTTAAATTATAAATTCATCTGTCTGTCCGCTTATTGACCATGAAAATTAGCCAATGAGCGCGCGCGAATTTCTGCAGTTATCGTAAAAAGAGTCACTACTGCTCATATATGTAACATCGGTACCAGGAAACACAACATTGAAATTTTTTCCAGCAGAAGTCAGTTAATATCAGGAAAGAGACTTACGAAAAATGCGTAGACCTACGTTGTTGTTTTGACGTCACTGCCTGATTAGTCCCAGGTCTCAACCCTCCGCGGTTTCTCACCCAACCCCGGGAGTGAAATTTCACGCCAGTTATCAGACGCCGGCTAGAGTGCGGTGGGGAAAAGAATATATCCTTTTTTTTTTTCAATTTCCACCATGCCATTGTCAAGAAGGTTCAATCAAGCAAATAAAGAATATTTGCAATATGGACTTAAAAGGAATAAAATTTGTTTTTATACATAATTCGAACAACAGCATATCATGTCATTTCGCTTCAACGAGTGGCTGAGAGCAAACAAGATCACAGGCCTGAATTTGATTTGTGCCTCCCATCTCTCATTTGTGTCATTTTCTATTTTAGCATAAAGACAAGGAATCGGGGGCTTCATTCCTTAAATACACTTCCCTCTTAAAAACAGCTTTCAAACCCAATGGTATAACTTCAGAAAACAACATCTGATATACATTAAGCGATTAAATACCTGGATTTTAATAACATTTTGGTTGTCGGCGTAAGTGGTAAACTTTTGCGCTTGTTTTGTTGGCACAGCTGAATTTCGCTTGATTAATGTCGTCATCACCCCTCCAGCCGTCTCAATTCCCAGGGACACCGGTGTGATATCCAACAGAATTAGGTCTTGGATTGCAGCACTTCCTTCGTTTGCTAATATGGCAGCATTAACAGCGGCTCCATACACCACAGCTTCTTGTGGATGGAGGCTTTTGTTCAGTGTTTTTACATCGAAAAAATCTTCCAGTAGGTACTGAACGTTTGAAATGTGCATAGACCCACCAGTCACCAGAATTTCATGAATTTCACCCTTTTGGAACGGGCTATCTTCCAGAGCTTTCTCCACTATCTTTAGCGTGCTCATAAATAAGTCTTTATTTAGGTATTCAAACCTGTCAAATAAATAACGTTCATTAGTGTTGGAGCGAGGCTCATTGAGGCTTTGTCCAGTACCAAGCAATTGTCACAAAGTGAACAGGCCACATATAAGGAATTTATGACAAAGGTTTCGACTATTTTCGCCTTTTTCGAAAGGAAAAAAGTATACATCAATTATTACCCTACAAATATAACATGCTTGTAAACCAGAGGTTTGCATCTTCCATGTATCCCCCTCTTACCTGATAGAATCAAGAGAAGTTCTTTAGCAGAATTCAAAGAATCGATCAAGAACGAAACCTTTCCCGGTTAATTAAAACCTCATTGGTAGCACATGGCCTTATGACAACTACAGTATATGTTTTATCTCAGGGAGACCAGTTAGTTTTGTTTCCCTCGTCTCCGTCTCGCAAAACATCGAGATTCTCGAGAAACAAATTTAACTGTTGCCCTCAAGACCAGTCATTCAGTGTTTAATATTGTATACGCGTAAATTGCTTGATATGATAAAGCTAAATACTTCATTTTAACCACAAGTAAACAAACAAACTTAGGGCGTGTGATGGAGGTCTCCAAGTTGAAATGTTTAGCAGCAACATCAGCTGATTCGGCAGAGGATAAGGTGTGCTTTGCTTGTTCAGAGACAATACTCAATCGATGAAAAGCTTCTTTGGTGGTGATATCTTTTCCGTGGCTCTTGTTGAGAATTTCCTTTTTAAAGTGATCTGCGACTCGTAAATCGAAGTCCCTTCCACCTAAATGGGTATCCCCACTTATGGACTTGACTTCAAAGATTCCATCTTCTATCGTGAGAATAGAAACATCAAAAGTACCTCCTCCGAGATCAAAGACAAGAATGTTTCTTTGCTGATCGAATTTTGTTGCGAGTCCAAAGGTGACGGCAGCAGCAGTTGGTTCATTCATGATATTCAAAACATTGAGGCCGGCAATAATACCTGAAAAAATAACACGAGTACAGCAAGATTTATGCAATGCGGTGAGAAGTAACTAAAAAAATACACGTTTTTCTTTAAGGCCTCATTATACTCCGCATTTCAGTCGCGCCGAATGAAGTAAGCATTAGAATACTGAAATTGCTGTAAATCAGTACATGATTTCTCATGGCTACGGCAACGGAAGTAAAACACGTTGGGCTTCTTCCACTCGAGCAAACTGAACTCAGGAAATTTCTAGTTGCGAACTGATCAGTATTTTATGGGAGAACAACCTCGCGAGGTATATCGAGATTCTGGAAAAATTGTTATCGAGAACTTCCGTCACATTTGATTTTTCGGCTGAAATTTCCAGAATTTTTGGTTAAATGGTTAGCATTTCGGAATTTTGCAATTCCAGGATTTTCTGCAAACTTTTCCACGAATTTTGCCTCTGTAATCCGGGGTCAACGGGTTCAAATCTTCTTCCCTGCAACTAAATTGATTTGGTATCTGGCCAAAATCCCGCCAGTTGGATTTTTAACACATTTTCTGTTATATTTATAAGATTTGTTCCTCGATTGATAGTGCTAGTGTCGCAAATTAGCACAGCGTTCAGTTAGTTGGGGCGCAGCGCGAAAAACGGCGCGCGAAAAAATAAAAAAAGCGCGGCGAGGGAAAGCGAAAAACGCCTGTGGGCAAACTTTAATAACAAAAGGTCCTTCCGCCCACTTATAGACCGCCTACAGGGGGCCCGTAACATGACCGCCAGCTTGTGGTTTTCATTTGTCAACAATATAGAACGCACCTTAGCAACATGTCCCTCGAAAGCCAATTATATTCTAATTCGCTGCCCCGCTCAACCGAATATAAAACATTTATCATGTGATAAGCAACCACTTGTGGGGTGTGTCAACACGAGCCGTGTATAAAAACATAACTTGCAATGGAAATGAGCCTAAACAAAGTATAAGCACAAACTCGGCGAAGCGAAATGTCAAGAGACCGAAAAGGTCGAAAAGAGAGTCGAAAATGTACAAATGTCACTAACCGTAGGATTTGTGTAGGCCCGTCAACCACATTTTACAGATAATCTCGCACTTTCCGTTCTTTGCGGCTTCTTCGTCCATTTCTTCTCAATACCTATTGCCGTTGATGCAGCTCCAATTTTTTCATTTGTCCACATGGTCTTTCAATATGGCCACGAGAGAAGAAACGCCGCGTGACTTGTTGAAAGGTCTCTGACCACCGCCATATCGCATTTCTCA